TAAATAACTGTTTTTTGTCAAGGCAGCAAGCTAACACAAACTCCCTCCCCGACCATCTTCTGCAACATAAGATGTACCTTGTAAAAATATGCACTTATCACTAAGCTGTAAAAGACCTTTTAGTTATAAACAGTTTGCAGCTGTGTCAAATAAATGCAGTTTCTCTTGTTCTGTACTAGATAACAAGTTTGCTTATCAAACTGGATGTAATTTCTGTTATAAATACCCCCTTGCTACCTACGTTCCGGGCCGATCAGCCTTCTCCTGCGAGAGAAGTGGCTGACAGACCTGAGCTCAGTAAATAAAAGGCTCTATTCAAATCTCTATCTGGCTGATCTGGTTCCTATGCAGAGTTGACCCATAACAGGAAAAAAAAAAAAGGAGGTGAAAACTATCAAAATTTTTTTGAAGCCTGGGCAACTTAATAAGGCCTAGACACAAAAACTAAAAAGAAAAAGAGAAAGGCAAGACAAAGACAAAGACAAAGAAAGATAGAGACAGACAGACCACTTGCTGGAGGTGTGTGCCTCAAGGTACAATTCCTCAGTTCCCTTGTTGCACAATGTAAGAGACCAAAACACCTTCAAATCTTTTGTATCCCTTTCTATTTTACATCAGTGATGATGTGTAGGCTATTTGAAAATCTACAGCAAGAACAGTTTTGTAATTTTTAATTTTGCCTCAAAAATGATTAAGTGAACTATGGAAATCAGTGTGGAGATTCCTCAAAATACTTGGATTAGAGGTCCCATCCAACCCAGCTATTCCCCTTTACGTTGGTTGCTATATTGCATCAACTTGAGAAATTTAAGTTTAATTGACTCAGCAAAGAGCTAAGATTTTTACTTTGTAAACACCTTTATCTTGTGCAAAAGGAGGGTATGGACATTGTGTGAGTTTTACACCTCCACTCTAAGGTAGCCTGCTTATAATAATAAAGAGGGGGAGAGGCTTGACAGAAGCCACAACTGCTGCCTTTCCCTTTGCTCTTTTTTTTTTAAATATTTATTTATTTGTTTGTTTATTTTGTGTGTGTGTGGCCAGCTCAGCCCACCAGGGGGCGGGGCTGGCTGGTATGTGGTGCTGAGGGATTGAATCGTGGTCCCTGTGCTTTGCTTAGCTTAGCTTGTTCTAAGTAGGTGCTTTAGACCACTGAGCAGTCTCACCAGCCCCTCCCTTTGCTCTTTGCTGTTTTCTGCTGCTATAAACTGCTGCTCTCTGCCATGTGTCACTCTGCCTGGAAGCCAGCTAAATATAGACTAAAACCTCTACAAACTATGAGCTAACTAAACCTTTCCTCCCTTAATTTTGGGTTCCAGCAATGAGTAAAACATAACCAAGACAAAATTTGGTACCAGGAGTGCGGCCAATGCTGTGATTATACCTGACAATGTGGATTACAAGCTTTTGGAAATGGCTTATAGAAAAGAGATAGGAATGGTTTGGAGATACCGCCTACTAGTGAAGACCTGGAATGCCTTCAGCTCTTCTGTATGGGAGATTCTGGTCACAGCTCAGAAGACCAAAATGCTGATAAAAAACCTGCCGGTAAAAAAAAAAAAAAAAAAAAAAAAAAAGGACTGTATTGGGTGTTGGACTCCAGATGATTTGTGTTAGAGCTTGGCAAAAAGTTTGTCTACATTTTGCTTACGTCCAGAGACTTTACCTGAGACTGAGATTAAGCATGTTAGATTTCATCTTACCAAAAAAAAAAAAAAATCTCAAGGCAGTCAAGTGGTGAGAAAGTGGCATGGCTATTGCTGTTGGGGGCTTTTAGTCAGATGTATGTTGAGAGTCAATAACAAAGAGCCCAGCAGGATGATTTAAAGTGTTATTAGTTTGGCAAAAAAAAAAAAAGCACCAAAACGGCTGTAGACTGCAAAGATAGAGCTGAGATCTCCATTGCCCAGGAAAAACAAGAAAATAAAAAAGATGTCCTGAGGACATCACAGGAAGTGATGTCCACAGGAAGTTCTTACTCTTTGCAGCCTCAAAATTGCAAGGGTAAGGGACTTTGCTTTAAAAAAAAAACACAAAAACAAAAACAAAAAACTACAGAGCCTCATGTTCCAAAATAGAGGCAGTGGTCACACCAGATTCCAGAATGATGCTGTCATAAAAAATCTGTTCCTCAAAATCAAGGTCAGAGAGCTCAGTGATCCAGGCACTCGACCCCTACACCAAAAAAAAAAAAAAAAAAAAAAAAAAAAAAAAAAAAAAAGCTGGCTACTGCTTCAGCTGACAACACCCCTTTATATCATTCATGTGGCGTTGGTTTTAGGCACAGTCAAAATACAGGAGTTTGGAGGTTAAAAAGGCTTCCTCCTAGACTTCAAAAGGCCTGGGAAGCCAGAGAGTATGCCCCTGGGAGGGCAATAAATAAAATAGAGTAAAAAACCTATTTAGTAAAAACTCCAAGTTTAAAAAAGCCAAAAACATAGATCATCTATTTATTTATTTATTTAATTTATGGCAGAACTGGGGATTGAACTCAGACCCTTGCACTTGCCAGGGAAGCGCTTATTCCACTGAGCCATCTCCCTGCCCTTATAGATCATCTAAAAAAAGCTAAAAAGACAGAGCAAAGTCAGCCCCAGAGAAAAGCCATGGGAGCTACAAACAAAAGTGCCATAGGGGTAAAGCCATATAAGGCTTTTAGAGCTCACAACTCATTACAGATTGCTTCAGACGTTCCACATAGAACTGCAATACTTAATGTTTGTCCCTCTAGATTTTAGACTTGTTTCGATCCCAATGGTTTATATCCTGTTGTGTATACCTTTTGAAGTGATAACATTTATCTTATGCCTTTAAATGTTAAAAATATTTAACCTTTCATTTATACTGGGGCTCACAGCTGAGTTTACCTTAGATCTTAAAAGATACTTGAGACTTATTTTCAGCAATGCTGAAACTCTTAAGACTTTAACAACTATTAGAGATAGACTAAAATACCTTTTCCACTTCTCACTATGCAGCTCAGGCTGGCCTTAAACTCAATGTAGACTCTGGGTGGCCTGGAACTCAGAGATCCTCTTGCTTCATTCACCGCATTGCTGGAATTACAGGCACGGACCACCATGCCTAACCAAGTACTTATAGCATGTAAACGTGTCATTTAATTTTTAAAACAATATCTAGAAAGGGCCCACACAGCATATGAAGCAATTGTTTCAGAAATAATGCCCCTTTCCCTTTCCAATCATACCAATAACAGATGTACACATCTCTTTAGATTGTCCAATTCAAAGCATTCCTCCATGTAGGTTTAACAGGCAGCCCCTTCAGGAAATTCTCCTTAGCTTGAACACTTTCCACTCTCTTGGTAATACATTAACATCTCTCCATCTTTCTTTCTTTCTTTTTTTTTTTTTTTTTGTGGAACCGTGGATTGAACTCTGACCCTTGTGCTTGCCAGGGAAGCGCTTATTCTACTGAGCCATCTTCCCGGTCCCTCTCCATCTTTCTAAGCATTCTAAAATGTATGGAAAGCCTCATTTAATTAGTCTTAATGTAAAGAATAATGTGTTTTGTTCTCATATAAATAAGGTACATGACTAGGGAAGGAACTGAGATAGAATTTGAAAATTAAACATTCTTTTTTTTTAAAAAATTTTTATTTATTTATTTATTTTTTATTTTTGAGAGAGAGAGAGAGAGAGTGTGTGGTGTGTGTGTGTGGCCAGCTCAGCCCACCAGGGGGCGGGGCTGGCTGGCATGTGGTGCTGGGGGATCGAACCGCGGTCCCCGATGCTTTTGCTAAGCTTGTTCTAAGTAGGTGCCCTAGACCACTGAGCCATCTCTCCAGCCCCTAAACATTCTGATAATTAAAATGATAATAGAATTACCTAAAATGTTGTACTAAGAGTAATTTTCTACTCAACAATTAATGCAGGGGCTGGTAAGATGGCTCAGTGGCCTAAAGCACCTACTTAGAACAAGCTTAACAAAGCACAGGGACCGCGGTTCAATCCCCCAGCACATGCCAGCCAGTCCCGCCCCCTGGTGGGCTGAGCTGGCCACACACACACACACACACACACACACACACGAGCGTGTGCACACGCACATAAATAAAATTAAAAAATTAATGCAGACCCTCCATATTAAAAGGAGTCGTAGCCATCCCTTATTAAACTTCCAAGTTCCCAGGCACATACAATGCAAAACAACCTGTGTTTCTCTAAGGTCTGTTTCTTTTTAATAATAATGCTGAAGAAATGGGTTGCTGAGCCTAAATTCAAAGTGGTTGTTTTAAATCCACAGATATCTGTAATAGGTCCCCGCTAAACAATCCACTATCTATCTACTATGCTTTGCTAATCTATAATTAGCTCAGGATAGCAGGGCTAAAGAGCCACTCACTAGGGTCTCTTCCAAAAAAATTCAGGGAGCTTTTCATCATATTTGCAATGAAATCTCTCATCACATCCTTTTATTGGTTCATAACATTTCTAAATGTTGAGAACACGATTTCTGTTCATGCGGCAAAACACAATTACAAGTAGAGGTCTCATACAAAAAATTACAATGGTGATTTTTTTTCACTACTATCATATCCAGGGTTTACCCAAACCTACTCTGCAAACTGGCAGAGATATAGCTGTGCTTGGAAAAGAACAAGAACTTATTCTGTGTTGGCCTCTGGCGAACGCCAAGTAATCCCAGCAGTTGGGAGGCCGAAGCAGGACTGCCGCTAGTTAAAAGCCAGCCTGGAATCCACAGAGTTCAGGACCAGCCTGAACTACATTGAGAAACTCTGTCACAATAAATAAAATTTAAAAAAAACAAACAAGTTCACACAGTGGCACAGTACAGTGTCTTATGCTGAGGGCCCATAACCGTCCCTGCCAGAAGGTGATGTGACACCAAAGACCAGGAAACCTCGCGTCTGGAGTCAGCGCGGAGGCTGTGTAGGGATGCCACAGTTGTTTCTGACCACTTCTGTTCAGAACGCAACCTATTCCATCCCATCCCCACCGCCCGTCCCACAACGTCACCATTGCGTGGCTTGAGGGTCTCCCAGAATCCTCCAACTGTATCTTGCAGCCAGTAGAAAACAGAGAAAAAGGCGGCATAGTCAGTCAGAGCCCTCCGCAACGCGATCACTGCGGCGCCATGACACCGGAAGTACCCGCTTCCTTCGGCGCATCTGATTGGCTATGTCAGACAGCCCCGCCTCCATCGCTGATTGGCTCCTGCTGCATTGCGGGCCTTGCGAGCGGAGACCCAAGCTAATAACAGCTGGGGAGGGATGAAAGGACACTTTGTAAACTCGGAAGTGCTGGATCAGTGCCTTTCCTTGAGAACTTGTTTAGAGATTCTAGCAGGGGAGCGCAGCTACTCGTATACCCTTGACCGAGGAACGGTCCTCTCTATGGGGGGGGGGTCGTCCTCCTCTCCCCAGCGCGCAGCTTCGGGAGTGCCTTTCCTTAAATGTCAATCTCACCTCGCCTGAGGAGTGTTTCCATTTAAGGGATTTGCTTTTGGCTTTTCAGAGCTGTCCTAGGTTGGGCTCAGTGTACTCTTCTTGAAAATTGATTACAAATGTTTTCAGAAGGTTTGAGTGTAATGTCCTGTGAATAAAAATCAATCACCCAGGGGCGGGGGAGATGGCTCGGTAGAATAAGCACTTCCTTGGCAAGTGCAAGGGCCTGAGTTCAATTCTCTGGCTGGGGGGGGGGGAACCACCGAAACATAATCACCTGAAGACTGAAAATGTCATAGGCCAGGCAAGAATAAAATGTAATAAAGTGAGGTGCTGCTGCTGGGAATGAGGCACTCTGTTTCTTTTGCCAAGTCATTCCTACTCACTCTACTTATTTTCATCCGTGAAAATGAATATATCGACCCTAAGAGGAATACAATTGTTCTGTAAAGGGAGAAATTAGAGTTGCATAATAGTGATACAGGGAGAAAAACTGGTCTTGGGTGGGTGACCTCCAAACCATATAGGGAACCTCCAAATGACATAGAGAAAAACAATCTCTGGACCTGACCTGCACGAGTTCGTGTTCTCTTAAACCGAATAATGAATTTTAGGAACAAACGGAGGTTATGAGCAGAATATATTTATTGAGAGAAATAAAGCTCCTGTCACGAGAGAGGAAAAGCAGGGAGGCCCCGAGGGAGTAGTTGCCCGGGAAACTGTCTCTTCTAGGGATTTTTATAGTGTAAAACCATGCGGGGCTAAGGTGGAGAGAGTGGGAGCTAGCTTAGGTGGGCAGGAGGTGGGACAAACTATGGTCAACCAATGGGATTACAAGCACCATTGCTCAGGTAAAACTGATTAAATCCAGTATCAAATGGGAAAGCGAGTCACGTAGCAGGCCAGCATGAATATGGAACAGGGTCTCTTCCTGTTGGGGGTTGGGCTAGTGACTCACTTGGGTCTTTTCAGGTGATGGATACCTATTTAGAACATCAATCCCAGGTGCTACTCGTTTAGCATTTGTTTGGCCTTTAGGTCTTTAGGTCTGGCTCACAACAGGAGCATCCGCCCCTCCCACAGTTGTAAGGCATCTCATCTTCTGTGCAGTCTCCTTCGAGGGCCTGGCCCTGTCTGACTGCCTATAATATTTCTATCTAACTCGGCTGACTGCGATAAACATACTGCAATTTTTAAAATTGTAATTAATTAGTTTTTATGACCATGGTTAAACTGAGAAGGTTTAACCTGTCCCATATGTAACCCCATTGGTTGACCATAGTTTTGTCCCACCTCCTGCCCACCTAAGCGAGTTCCCATTCTCTCCACCTTTGCCCTACATGGTTTTACACTATAAAAGTCTCTGGAAGAGACAGCTTCCCGGGGCGACCTGCTCGGGTCCCCCTTCTATCCTCTCTGAGACAGAAGCTTTCTTTCCCAATAAAATATTCTACTCTCAACTTCCGTTTGTTCCTAAAATTCATTCTTCGGTTTTAGAGAACACGAACTCATTCAGGCCAGGTGGGGAATTTCATGTTCCTATATCATGTTGAGCTCCACAGAGACAACGCGGGGGCACTGGGTGACTCTGTGAGAGCGAGACGAGCACAGATGGGCAACTCTGTGCCTTGCTGATTCTGCGGTCCAAGGCCACTTCAGAGAGGAAGTGGTGTTTGTATGAGGTCAGTACTGTAATGGATCAACTCACATTTTAGATTATAAATGTAAATCTTGTGTTTTCTGTTGTGTAAAAATGTATAATTACCACTGTTCTAAGTTGTTTAGTAACTAGTGGCTGTTACTTGCTGTTTGCTAGATAAAATTCCTGTAACCCTCACCAATTCCTGTCAGCAAAGTTAGCTTACAGAGTTGACTTAAAGGAAACTAAATGGGCTTTAACTTCTCGTAACCTCGGGCTATGCAAGGCTGCCTGCAGGTACTCAGGTGCAAATTAACCAGAAACTGAAACAAAAGCTCCAGAAATGTAGTTTGAGTAGTGGTCCCAGTCACTCTGAAAGTATTATTTTGTATCAGACAATGAATTTGTGTACCAAACTAAATGTGGTCAGACAATTAATTTGCTTATCAAACTCAATGTGGTTCCAGGTTTTAAAACCCCTTCCTGCTTCCTGGGCTGCCACCTTTCGGTCCTGAGCTCTGTAATAAACGGCTTTCCAAATTCCAGTCTGGTTGATCTGGTTCCTATCCTGAGTGACCCATAACAAGTATCTCAGCTCTGCCTTCAGGAGCCACGAATGTGATGTGGTCAGGCCTGTGAGTGATTTCCTTCTGGTAAGTATATGCCAGATTGCTGGCAGAAACGACATCGTATGTTATGTAAAAATCACATAAAAATAATCAATAATTATAGAAGTACAGAAACACAATAAATTGAGAGTGGGCCAGGGAGTTAGCTCAGCAGAATAAGTGCTTGTCTGGCAAGCACAAGGGCCTGAGTTCAATCCCCGGTTCCACACACACACACACAAAAATAAAATAAAATAAATAAATTGAGAGCTCTACAAAAGAAAACTGAATTTTGTGAAAGTGCATATATTCAAATTTAAATACATTTTTATTGAATGAAATGTATATCTGTATTAAAACTTTTCATGTCTTTGTGTGTGCGCATGTGCGCGCACATGAGAGAGATGGAAATAAGGTTAATGGTTAAGTTCCTTGGCAGACATGCAAGTTGTAGCCCAGCAAGGGCCTCTGGATGCTGTCCTGAGTCCAGTCTGACTGCTCCTCTTCCCTTCTCTCCTGAGCTTAGGGCTCCATATGGTTTTGGAGCTGAGCCAGAACCAGATCTCCTGCAGTGACCCCAAGAGGAGATGTCTTTGTGGTCTCTGATCATGTGGAGAGGAATGGAAGGATGTAATTTCTTAAACAGAAACATGTCTTCTTTTATTAGACATGCAACTCTCGTGGTGATAAAATTTGCAAATTTATTTTCTTTTTTTTTTTTTGTGGTACTGGGGATTGGACTCAGGACCTTGTACTTGCCAGGCAAGTGCTTATTCTACTGAGCTACCTCCCCAGCCCCTATTTTCATGTATTTATAGTATTATTGTAATTATTATTATTTTTTTAAATTTTTTTTATTTATATTTATTTATTGTGTGTGTGTGTGTGTGTGTGTGTGTCTGTGTGGCCAGCTCAGCCCACCAGGGGGCGGGGCTGGCTGGCATGTGGTGCTGGGGGATCGAACCACCACGGTCCCTGTGCTTTGCCAAGCTTGTTCCAAGTAGGTGCTTTAGACCACTGAGCCATCTCTCCAGCCCCTATAGTATTATTGTAATTATGAAATAATTACTACTCTGCAGTTAATTCTGGGACAACTGAAGATTCTCCCCATATTATGTGTAAGAGAAGAAGAGAAAGGATTTTTTTTTTTTTTTTTTTTTTTTTTTTTTGCGGAACTGGGGATTGAACTCAGATCCTTGTGTTTGCCAATCAGGCACTTATCCTACTGAGCCATCTCCCCCACCCAGAGAGAGGACCTTAATGTGAGCCCAGACACAAAGAACCAGGATGCCTACAACCATCATGCTGAGGTGAGTGATTATTGTTAATTTTATATAATGTTTAGACACAGGGTCACAGTATGTATTTAGGGTTGGTTTTATACTCACTGGGTACATCAGACTTATTTGAAGTCACAGCAATTTTCATGCCACCATGAGAACTGTAATTTTCATTGTAAACATATTTTCTTCCTTGGTTAGATTAATTCCTAAGTATTTCATTTTCTGGATTCTATTGTGCAAGGTATTATTTCTCTCTCAGTGAGTTTATCTGTATAGAGAAATGCTATTGAATTTTGGATGCTGACTTTGTGTACTGCTATGCTACTGAGTTTGTTTATTAATTCTAGGAGAATCTTGGTGGGGTTTTTTTTGGTCTTCCATGTAGAGTATCATGTCATTTGTGAATAATGATAGTTTAACTTCTTCCTTACCTATTGTTACTCCTTTTATTTCTCTACCTTGTATAATGGCTCTGGCTGTTTCTAGACCTATATTGCATAGTAGTGATAGTGGACATCCTTGTCTTATTCCCAATTTGAGAGTAAAAGTTTTCAGTTTTTCTCCATTTGAAATAATGTTGGCTGTTGTTTTCTCATAGATGGATTTTATCAGATTGAGGTATAGGCCATCTATTTCAATTTTCTGTAGGGCTTTGATAGTGAATGAGCATTGGACTTTGTCAAAGAACTTTTACACATCTATTGAGATGATTATGTGGTTTTTGACTGAAAGGGTTTTAGAGATTACTGCAATTACCAATGCTTGGAAGGGTTCAGGAGTAGTCATTCCTATTACATCTCTATTTCATTCTGTAATTTGGCCTATGCAGATGATTGAGGGATCTTGAGAATGATGGTTGAATTACAACAAACTGAATCAAGTAGTGACTCCAATTGCAGTTACTTGTATACACAAGGCATGGTATCTTTGGTTGAGATTACCCTATCAATTGGTTTTGATATGCAGCTATTGACTTAGCAAATACCAGCCTTCTCCATACTATCCTAATGACTCATGAAATAATTAACTTTCAGAGGAGAAGACAAGCAATATATCTTCACTGTCTTACTTCAGGGTTATTTTAACTTGCCAGCCCTGTGTCACACCTTAGACTGCATTGATCTTGATCACCTTTTTCTTCAAGTCTATATAATACATT